CCTTAACCCCCCCCCCCAGAGTCGTAAATTCCTGCAGGCTGAACACACTGCACTAACCGTGGGTTTGGAGGATTTGTGCTTTTTGGGGCCATTTTGGGTAAGAAAACACCAGTTTCTAGCAGATGTGATGTTGAGCAGATGAGATGCTCAGTATTGACTTAATTCCTTTTTGGTCCCCATGTCTTTGGTTTTGCTTTGGAGTGGGTGCAGTGAAGGGAAGGGAATCAGAATAAAGAAGGTGTTGAGAATCAGGAAACAGATCTCAAATGCAAGAGAGGTGCCAGAAATGTGTCTTTGCGATCCTGCTGTCACCAGGGGATGCCAGGACAGTGCCAGTGTGTCTCTGCCTGTAGCAGGAATCATCGTTAGGGCTTCATTATGTTTACAGCTGTGGTGCCAAACTCGGGGTAGAGCTGGGGTGAGGAGCACTCCCAAGATGAGCTTTGGGCTCAGGGCTTGTCCCTTTCCTTCCTCCACAGCATCAGGTGGGTTTGAGTTTTCCAAAGAGCTGAACACAAAGAGCTGTGTAGCCTCAGCCTTGCAGCGGGGCTGGGCTGGATCGCCTCAAACCCCTGTGGTGAGTTATCCATCACCCATGGGGGCTCAGAAGATCAGGATGGTCATTGCCAGCCAAGTCGGGGTAGGGGACCAGGGCTTCAGCTTGCTTTCCCCACTGCCATCAGCAGGAGGAAGGCGACGTGAGCCATTTTCAGCAGAAATCACCTCGCAAGAGTTTATTCTTCATTTTGATGTGTTTCTCCTCAACCAGACCTTGGGAGGAACAGTCAGGTGTTGGGGGTGCAGGAGAGTAACTAAACATCCCTCATCTACTTGTGGGGATGGGGCTGTGTCCTGTGGAGACCCTGGGGCCGTGCACGCAGGGGACACTGCGGGGCAGGAGAAGTAGAGGGGATGAGTTGAGGACACCACCTTCTTCCCCACTGCTTCTTTTGCTTTCACATCTACAGACACCACTCTGATGGGGATTAGGTGTGTCCCCAGCATCTGCAGAGACCTTTTCAGCTCAGTATGGTGTCAGTGGCTCCTCACATACAGGCCACATCCAGCTGGTTGAGGTTTTTGGCTTTGGGGGAAGAATAAATGTCCCTGGAGGTCCCCATATGCTCATGGAGCCCAGGGGCACCATCTTCTGACTGCATCACTGCTCCCAAACCCTCCTGCCAGATCCTCGCTGCCTCTTGAGAGGGTCATCTCAGATGGAGGGCCACCACGACCTTGGTCTGAGTCTCCTGAGGACCAACGGAACAGGGGAAGTTCTAAGTGCCCATTTTTCTAAGATATGGGGGCACAGGCAGCCTTAGTGCTGGTACCTGTTAGGAGGGGGATTATCACGGATGCTTCCTCTCTGCAGGCGTGGGAAACCCTGAAGTGTGGCCTGAGCATACTGGGAGCTGTACAAAGCGCGCTAGTCACCCTCAAGGTGAACAGACTCGATCTTTAGCTGCTGGGTTGTAAACCTTGTGACACTTCCTGCTCTTTCTTCTTATCTGACGAGACCAGACCTCTCGTGATCTCCATAAAGATTCTCTTGAGCGGAGCTATGCTGTTTGCTGCTCTGACCACAGCCACTCATGGGAGGTGTCTTGGGCTGAGGCTTCCCCTCCACCCCCCAGCGAGGCTCTTGTGAGCCCCGAGCTGCTGCAGGACAGCAGATCCTTCGCGAGATGCATCCTCCACCCTGGGGTCCCAGCGGGTGTGCAGAAAACATCTGACCGTCGTATTTGTGTGGTGGAGACTTCCTCACCCATGGCTGCTCATGTGTGAGGAGCTTGGGTTTTGTCTTCACGGTTGGGTTTTGGCTTCCTCACCTGTTCTGGAAGATGCTCCACTGGCACGTCATGCAGTTTTATCTCTCTTGCATTGTGGTTGCGTTGGCTCCAGGGGTTCCTTCTGCTTGTATTGGCTCTTGAATTTGACTCATTTTGACAGGACCTGGATGAAGAGCATGGGGAGATGGTTACCTCTCCATGACAGCCTGAGGGGGGACAACCTTTGCTGTGAAGGTGTGTTATGGAAGAAGTCTCTGGCTGCAGTTTTGGCTGAAGGATGCGTTAGTCCCAAGAGCTGGTGGCCGTGGGGAGAGCTGCTCGAGGATTTGTGCCACCTCCCCTTCGTTTTCCTTTTCTGGATCCCTCAGGCACTTTGCAGTAGAGCGAGCAGGGATTTCAGTAACGAACCAGCATGGTCTTTGACTCATTTAGGTTGGAAGGAGCCTCTGGAGGTCTCTGGTCCCACCTTCTGCTCAAAGCAGGGCCATAGGCAGATCAGTGCTGTCCCCATGGACATGTGGGTCCAGGTGCCCCCAAGGTGTCACACAGAAACATGGCCAGGTCTTCTCCACATCCCTATGTGCTTTCTTGGGAACCTCCTACCCCTTGGTGGGTCTGCAGTGATTTGGGGTTCCTTAGGGGGCTCCTCAGCCATCCACAACCTCTCAACCTATTCAGACCTCTTCTAATTAGTCTTCTAGGCCTCCCACCTTGGATGGGAATGCACTGAACGTTCACCAGGTCTGGTGGAGTCCATCTGGTTGTGTAGGACCTTGCAAAGAGGCAAAGGTCTGGTGGCTCTGCCGTGGGGCCAGAGCTCTGGCGTACCCTGAGAACAGCGTTTCAGAAAGGCTTTAGGTTCAATTATTCAAGTCACGCTGACCTGATTGCACTTCATCCCTTGTATTTTTAATATCGTGGAGACGTGATGGTGTTTGTGTGGTGCTTGCAGGGCTGGGACCATCAAAATACGTTGCATTATTTATCAGCTGATTTAATATAATTGCTGCTCAGCCTCACATCCTCGCTTGGGGGGTTTGTATTTGTGTCCGGTGCTTCCCTCGCTCCTCAGCTAATGCCGGCGGGGGGGGACCCTGCCTCCTCCCTCCACACTGTGCCGGGGGAAATAAAAAGATGATTTTAATGCAGCAACCCAGGCTTATGGGGAGGTATAAGCAGCAAATGAAGGAGGCACCGATTTTTTTTTTTTAAGCCTAAATCTAAGCCCTGAGTAAGTGTTTCCATTAATTGATGTAACAGTTAGACTGGCTTGAAATCAATGCTGCTCCTCCATCCTACCTGGAACCAAAACCCGGCCCTGCAAAGAGCAGCTGCCTGCATCGATTTTCATAGCTCATGTTCGAAAAATATAGAAGTCAACTGTACAGCCCTGTGCTGAGGTTTCCCAGCAGCCAGGTAGGCAGGGAAAGGCGCTTGCCCTTTGGAAAGCAGCTCGCAGAGCAGCGGGGCCCAAACACAGTGGCTCTGGCTCGTTTGGCAGAAGGATTAAAGCTCTGGGAGGAGGCACAGGGTGGGAGATAAATGAAGCATGTGGAGCCCATGGCATGGCCAGGATGGATTGATCTCCAGCACAGAAGGTATCGATGCATGGGAGGGGAGGGCGAGCCAGCACGTGCAGCGCCGTCTTGCCCTGCTTAATCTGCTGTTTGCACAGTTTCTTTGGCTTTAAATTTTTTCTTTTTTTTTTTTTTTTTGTCAATGCTTGATATTGCAAGTGTAAAAACACCGCCCAGGCTAGCAGCTCTGGGGTGGCTTTCTCCTCCCGTCTGCGTAATATCAGTGTTTGCTGAGCATGTGTCATTTCACGATATAGCCAGAATAACGTGTGGTGGTGAAATCAGGGCCGTTGACTCAGCAGGAAGCGTGGCAAGGATGCTTTGCCTGCGTTTTAAGGGGAAAACAGGCTGGTTCAGGGATTTGAGGCTCCATGGGAAAACCAAGATGCTGTGTACGGAGGTTAGTAAGCGCTGAGCATGCCGGGGAGGGGATGAGGATGGAGAGGGGCTCAGTAAGGCGAGGGAATAGCGTGGGAAAGGCTCCAAGGACGCAGCTCGGGAGAGAAAGCAAATTGTGCTGTTTTGCAGGAGCATTGTGGTCAGGAGAAACACAGGTGGGTGAGGACTTGAGCGAAGAGAAGCTGCCACGGTGCTGCCAACTCTCGATCCCCCTCCACCTCCCTGGCCCAGTTCTGCCACCGTGGCCGTGCCCTCCTCTCCTCATCGCATTGGGAAGGACCCAGGTGTACTCGCTGCCCCCGTCACCGGGTCCTACTTTAGACCAAAATGCATTAGGTTACGGGCAAAAAAAAAAAAAAAGAGGCAGCAGCAGGCCACAGAAGTTAAATTTAATTGAGATAATATGGGTCAGCTCACCGACCGGGGACGGAGGAGCAACCTACTTCTCCCCAGCCAGCCCCAGCTAACCTGGTTTGCAGCACTGCCAGGGCTCCGCACCCCTGCCCGGGACTGGCAGCTTGGAGAAACACCTCTGGTAGCCTCAGGTTTGCCAGCAGGAAAATAACAGGCCATGAAATGCCAGAGGCAGCGCAAGCCACAATAAATTACTTTTCAAAATTATTGATGGTGAAAATACAGAATAGCACAGGGAATTTTTTTTTCTTCCCTCCTCTCCCCCTAAAAAAAACAGCTAAAATCACTCATGTTTAGTGGTGATCCTCCACCTGCAGCTTGGGATCTGGCCATCAGCAAAGGCTTTACTCATCTAATAGGTTTCTTCTTAGTGATGCTGCAGCACAACAGCTTTGTAGTGAGACCTTTGCAGGGTACCCATAGCTGCAGATACAGGATTCTACCCCACAGCCCCTGCCTAAAGCACATCCAGCCTCAGAAAGTAATAACAAAGCTCTCCCATTTCCATGTGCTACACCCACTGTTTGAGTAGTGGCTCTGAAAGCACCAGCTCTAGATGCTGTAAAAAAAAAAAAAAAAAAAAAATCAAACTCCCAGCCTTGCTGTTTTAATAGCAGGGATGGGAAGAGAAATATCAGGTGGCAGCAACACCAGGGCTTTGCTCTACTATAACAGATAGGCTGTGACCTGTTTGCTGTATTTGAAGCTTGAAATAGAGCCTTATGAGTAATGTGGTTCAGGTGCTTATCACTAATTAATTAATTCTTTTGTACGGTGGATACCTAATTAAAGCAGTCTAAGGTAATTCCTGGTGGGGCTTAAACTAATGGGACTGATAACGGGGTTATTTCTTTGCAGATGTAACTTGTTGGGTGATTCCCAGCGGCTGGGAAGGGTTATTAGGCTTCGTGTGAGTGTTACTTAAAATAAAATTCTAATAAAGGTTTGATTCAGGTGAAATGATTTCTTGTTGCGATGGTTTCTACAGCTGAGGGCTTCCCGTGCTGCAGAAGTTGTTCAGGTGGAAAGGCGAGGCTCTTGGCACTATATGCTAAAGGAGCGTGTTTAGTTTTATTTTAGCTGGGCTGAAAAATGCTTTTTACAGAAGGATAAGCCCAGCAGCGTGGCACAAGCTACTGCAAAATCCATGTGCTCCTTCCGATTTGCTGGTGTTACAGGAAGTCTGTCTCTTAAAAAAATGTGCCATTTTAGCCAAATCAGGGCAACTCAGTGGCTTGCTCCAATTCCTTTGGGGTGGCTGCACCCCCATGCTGATGGGCAGGCAGTTGGTAAGTCACTGTGGCCTTGAATTCGGGGTGAATTTGCATGAGGCTCGGGGTGGGTTTGTCCCTTTGGGAGAGGTGTTGGCACAGCCAAATACCCAAACCCTTTTGCAAATGTGATGCTGGGTTAAACACCTCCGCCCTGCAGCTCTCCCTTCATCCCTTCATTTTCAAACCTCATTTTGCACTTACCCTAAAGGTCTGTATCTGGACCCTGGCAAGCAGGATGTTAAAAAAACTGAAACCCAAGAATGGATCAGTTAATTAACATGAAATAATAGCTCTTGTCTGCTTCCCTTAATTAAGGGTCAGGAGTTCAGAGCTGTATGAACAGATGTTGAACTCCTTTTCCTGGTACACGAGCTCATTGCTTCCTCGGCAGCTTGAACCATTTCTCTCTCTTTTTTTTTTTTTTTTTTTTTTTTTTCCTGGGCGAAGAGGCAGGGAACTGGGATTTTTGAGAAAGGTGTGTACGAAGAATTTATTTCAGAGCCAATTTGAGTTGTTTTGGGGAAGGAATCGAGAAATCATAGGTGTGTCTAATTAAAGGGTGATTTTGGTTTTCTAGAGGTCTCTCTATGGGGAAAAAAGAGAGTTTTGGGGGGGTTTCTGCTCTTTTCTGCCCAGCTAGGAGGTGGTGCATGCTTCCTAGAGCCTCCTTTACAGCAGAAACTTCTGCCCCATGAAGGACTACCCAGCCTGCTGCCACTTCTTCAGTAGGAAACGGGTTTCATGGGATGGATTTGGTCGTCAAGAGACAGTCGGGGTTTCAACAGGAATTTTTTATTTGGTTGATTCATTCATGCTTTTATTGTAGAACTGCTGCTCCATCGGTGTGGGGGTGTTGGTAGAGCTGGGTTATCACCAGCTGCCCCGACGTGGTTAAATCAGGGTCACTTCAGCCTGGGAAGTACTTTGCCAGGCAGAGAATAATCATAAAGACAGGGTTTGCTGTGCTATACAGCGAGGGTGCAGCGTGTTATACTAGGCTTTCCTTGGCTGTTGCTGCAGTAGAAATGCAAAATAATACTCAAGTATTTTCGAGGATATCTGTGTAGCGTTTCAACTGACGTTAAAAGGTGCATTGACCAGGAGAGCAGGTAATGCCACCGATCTCCAGCCTGGGCTGACCCCCAGGCAGGGGAAAGACCCTCCAGTGTGGGAGAAACCTGGGGGTTTGTCATGCCCTGAGGCTTAGTGGCCACTTTTCCAACAGTTTCGTGGACTTGATGGGGAGAAATGTGGGTGTCACACTCGAGGGGGGATGTGGGACCACGGAGGAGCCCCCCATGTTGGTGGAGGGGGAAGGAAGGTGAGAGCTCTGCTGTGGGGGCTGCAGGCACATGGGGAGGGGAGGTCTGTGCCGGTGGCAGATGGCAGAGGGGCTCCCATCAGCTCCTCTGCCAAAAACCACCTGCAGGACTCTGGGGTGAAGTGTGACCTGTCTACATCCCACCTCAGCACTTCTCCTCTCTGCCCGGTTTCCTCCTCTTTCTCTTTTCCGTATTTACTGCTCTGTCTGTGTGCTGGAGACACTTTGGTCTATCCAGGGGACTTCAAAGATTGTGGAGATGTCTCCATCTTCCAGCCCGACAGGGAGGTTGGGGATGCCCTAGACAGTGTGGGTGCTGCTTTGCAGGAGGCAGCTAATGGGGCATTTCTGAGAAACTCTGGTTTTCCAGGGGGCACCGGTGGTTTTAGGGAATTTCTGGAGCTGCGTGTTCTCCTCTCAGGCAAGTTTCATAAAAATAAAATGCCAGCAGCTGAGAGCAGTAGTGTTTTTTTAAAATCTGGGTAGGATGAAGACTAACTGCAGCTTGAACAGGGCAGCAGCTGTGTCCTTTACTGCCAGGGTTTTGCTACAAGCCTGCCCGGGGGTTTGCAGGGCAGAGCCTCACCGTGTTCCTACTCCTCCGCTCACGTGCACTGCAGCGAGTCTGCAGCCTCCCACTGACCTCTGGGTATGTTTTAATGTTTCATTAAATTAAAAAAAAATTACAAACGACAACAACAACAAAAAAAAACCCTCCCAACCCTTAAATCATTTTAATTTTTAGCGAAGTGCAGTGGTGATGTTGCTCAGCCCCAGCGGGGAGAGCAGAAGTGGAGCCTCTGCTTAAAGCCTCTGCAGCAGGAGAGCCCAAAAGGCGGTGCTGGGGCTGGCGTGACGGGATGTGTGCCCTTATCTGTCTCCTCTGGTGTGTCACACCGAAACGTGACAGCCGAGGCCTTTTTCTTTCTGTGCCACAGCATAATCAGGTAGCGGGAAGCCTGCCTGTGTCCCCCCCCCCAGCAGACATTGCCCCTGCTTGTCCCTGGGAGGCATCACCATGAGCGTGCGTGGGTGCAGAGAGCACGGCGAGGGGCCGGGGGGAGGTCAGAAGTGAGTCAGCAAAATGATTGGGTGTTTTTAATCTGGATGAAAACTCAGGCCATGGGAAGAAGGTGATGCTCAGCAGCAGCTTCTCTTGCTTGGACCGCTAGACCATGTATTTGGGCAACCTTACTCTCTGGTATTTGGCCAAGCTCCCTGGGGCACCCGTCCTCCCAAGTGCCTGCTCTGTGCACACTGCTGGGTTTGCCCCTTGTGCATTAAAACCAAACACTTTTCCCCAGGTTTTTCCCCCAAATGGCAGCTTTTCCTTTTTAGGGGTACGTTCCCAAAGGTCCTGGGGCTGCCTGGGGGGGGGGGTCACACAGCTTTTTGGCTTGGTGGAAATCTCCAGCTGCATCAGCTGGGGAAATGATGCTGCTGTTAAACTCCTGACCTTCAGCACAGGAATTGGCCACGCCGGTGGTGGAGCCTTGGGTCGATGCTCCTTTCCCGTGGTACCCGCCTGGAGAGAGGCACCATTTCCTATGAATGGTGGCAGGAGGGACCGGAGCAGATTTTCCAGTTTGTGCTGGCTGGTGGCTGATCCTTCA